GATTGTGCAGCACTCACTTTCCAACGACATGTGAGCTAAGCCAATTCGTTCTTACGTCGCCTACGGCCAAGCGACGTATGCTCGAGCCTCTGGCCTCGGTTTAAGAAGAAGGTTTTAGAAAACGAGGGTAGAGAGAGATTTTGGAAAGAGAAATTTTGAAAGAGATGTTATATAAGCAAGCAAGAGAGTAACAACGGCTGACAGTATATAACCTTTGGTTGGGAGAAGTTGACAACTAGTCATATCCCCCTATAGTACATTCTGAGGCATTTCATGTCTGGCAGACATAGACATGATTTTTCCAAAACGTCATACTTTCTAGAAATACAAAAGTAAAATACTAAAACATGGAAAGACATAAAGGGTTTGGCTTGTCATGGGCATGCGGCCATGGGCAACACGCCTTGGACGAGCATGATCGTGACATCCTCCCCCACCTAATTGGTTGACGTCTCTGTCAATCGACTACTTTCAAACCTGGCGATGTGGGTGGCGGCGGAGTCCAGATCTTTGGCGCGTTCTCAGTTGGTTTCCTCCGTAGGGAGATTCTTCCATTTGACAAGGAATTCACGAATTTTCCGTACAGGTCTTCCTATCTTCCTAACCCTGTCGACTAGGATCTTCTCTATTTCTTTGGTGTCTCTTTGTTTCAGATCGATGCTCAGTCTAGTGATTACATTTCGTTGGTCGTCATCTGGGTTAGGGTGATAGGGCTTCAAGTTGCTCACATGAATTACTGGATGGATTTTCATCCATGTGGGTAGCATAACTTTGTAGAAGGTAGCCCCAATCTTTTTAAGGACTTCAATCGGGCCTTCATATTTTTGAACTAGTCTCTGGTCCTTTCGACTGCGGAATCTGATCTGTTCTGGTCTCAACTTGATGAGGACTTGGTCTCCTGCTCGGAATTGGAGGGGGCGACACTTCTTGTCCACCCACTTCTTCATATGCTTGGAAGCTTTCTCCAAATATGTCCGGGCTATATCTGTTGTCTGCTTCCATTCTCTTGTGAACTTTTGAGCTCGAGGATTTTTTCCTGCATAAGGATGATCAATAATATGGGGCAAGGTCGGCTGTCGTCCACTTACAATTTCGAAGGGGCTCTTTCCCGTAGACGAACTCGTTTGACAATTGAAACAGTATTGGATAACATCTAGCAGTTGTATCCAGTTCTTCTGGCGAGCGTTGATGAACTGACGTAAGTATTCTTCGAGCAAGCAGTTGAACCGTTCCATCTGTCCATCGGTTTGAGGATGGTAGCTCGAGGAGATGTTTAAAGTCGTTCCCAAGAAGACGAATAACTCAGTTCAGAATGTGCCAATGAATCTACCATCCCTATCACTGATGATGCTCGACAGAATGCCCCATAACTTTACAATGTGTTTGAAAAATAGTTGGGCTGTTAGTTCAGTCGAATAATTTGGGATTGAGGACGAACGTCCCGTATTTCGAAAATCGGTCTACGATAACTAAGATGGCGTCATATTCCCCGACTTTTGGGAGGTGTGTTATGAAATACAGAGGCACACTTTCCCAAGGCCTTGTTGGCACGGGTAGAGGTTCCAAGAGTCCCAAGACTTTGGCTTTCTCGACTTTGTCCTGTTGGCAGATGAGGCACGTCTTGGTGTACTACATGATGTCGTCCCGCATATTTGACTAGAAGTACCTCCTTTTGATTAGGGCATATGTTCGTTGCCACCCAGGGTGTCCGACCCATAAAGTATCATGATATTCCTGAATGAGCTCCTTTCTCAGTTCTCCTGTTCTTAGGACGTATAATCTGTTTCCTTTTGTCATTAGAAGGTCTCCCTCAACCCAAAAGTGTCGTGTCTTCCCAGCTTTGGCTAGTTTGACAATGACTTTGGCCGATGGGTCTTTATGTAAATGTTCTTTGATGATGTCGCGCATTGATCCATCAATCTTACTTGAGTGAATATGGGCTAACATGCACAAGGCCGCATATTCCCCCTTTCAACTCAGCGCGTTGGCTACTTGGTTAGTCTTTCCTACCTTGTGTTCAAATTTGAAGTTGAACTCAGCCAACGACTCCTGCCACCGGGCTTGTTTTGTCATCAATTTTGGTTGATCGAAGAAGTGGCAAATGACGCTATTATCTGTCTTCACTACGAACTGTGATCCCAAGAGGTACTGTTTCCAGACTTGTAGGCAATGGACCACAACCAGCATTTCTTTTTCGGAGACAGTGTACCTCCTTTCAGCATCATTGAGCTTTCAGCTTTCATAAGCGATGGGGTGGTCTTCTTGAATAAAGACAGTAAAAGGAGAGAGGGAGAGATTTGCTGAAGACTCGATGATTATTTCTCATTCAGTTGAATTCTTTAAATAACAAATTTAATCATAAAAATAGAAAATAGTGGGTACAAACTTGCGCCCAAAGTTGGCCAAAATGGCCAGCAAAAATTATGCTCTTCCATTCAACGGGTGTGAATTCAGAATTTTCAAAAGTAAAAAATAACTAACGAAATCTAAGAGACCATAGCTTTTATCTAACACGATACACTTCTTGCAAAACGATGGTGTGATGGGATCAATCCAAGATGTCTATTACGTACCAGATCTCAAGACCAACATATTGAGTATGGGGCAATTCACAGAGAAAGGTTACTCGATATTCCTAAAGGACCACCTGCTACACCTGAAGGATAAGTAAGAGCATTTGGTTGCTCGAGTCGAGATAGGAAGATATTGAATGTACAAATTGAACTTAAGAAGCATACGAGAAAGTGTTTGAGAGTCGCTGCACCAACAAGTGCACCAACAGACTCAGAAATTTTCGATGATGAAGATGAACCACGACAACCCAAAATGCGAAGTTTGCGAGATTTGTATGACTCAACAGATGAGGTACACCTTGTATGTCTTCTGGAAGATGCTTAAAATATCAGCCTTGAAGATGCGGTGCAAGACACGAAGTGGCAAACTGCCATGGATGAGAAGATTAAAGCGATCCATCACAACACATGGGAACTAATAGAATTACCGGAAGGAAGTCAGCCCATAGGTGTGAAGTGGGTATTTAAGAAAAAGATGAATGCTCAAGGCGAGATTGAGCGCTACAAAGTGCGACTTGTTGCCAAGGGATACAAGCAAAAGGTGGGAATCAACTATGACGAAGTGTTTGCTCCTGTTGCTAGAATGGAGACAATTCGATTGATCATTTTCCAAGTAGCCCAATTCAAATGGCCGATTTTTCAAATGGATGTCAAATCAGCATTCTTGAATGATGTGTTTGAAGAAGAAGTATATCTCAAACAACCTCCTGGGTACGTGAAAATTGGAGAAGAGAAGAAGGTACTAAAACTGAAAAAGGCACTTTACGAGTTGAAACAAGCACCGCGAGCATGGAATACTCGTATCAACACGTACTTCAAGGAGAACAGGTACAAGCAATGTCCCCACGAACATTCACTTTATACAAAGAAGAGTGGAGGTAATGTGATACTTGTCGCTCTTTATGTCGATGACCTCATCTTCTCAGGCAACAATGATGAAATGATAGAAGAATTCAAAAACACAATGACGTGAGAATTTGAGATGACGGACTTAGGCTTGTTGAAATTTTTCCTCGATTTGGAGGTTAAATAAGGAGAAACGGGTATTTTTATATCACAGGAGAAATATGCAAAGGAAATTTTGAAGAAGTACAAGATGGAAAATTGCAACCCGGTATTAACACCAATGGAACCAGGTGCAAAGCTCTCAAAGTACGATGAAGGAGAACGAGTAGATGCAAAAAGGTACCGAAGCCTGGTGGGAAGCCTTCGTTATCTTACATGCACAAGGCCAAATCTTTTATTAAGTGTCGACATAATAAGCCAGTTCATGGAGGAGCCAATTTATTCACATTGGAAGGTGTTGAAGCGAGTCCTACGATATGTCCAAGGAACATTGTCACTTGGGTTATTCTACTCAAGAACAGAAGATTACAAGTTAGTTGGTTACTCTAACAGTGATTGGTGCGGAAACATAGACGATCGGAAAAGTACACCGGGTTATGTATTCTTCATGGGCAACACAGCATTTACTTGGCTTTCAAAGAAACAACCGATCGTGACACTCTCGACGTGTGAAGATGAGTATGTGGCAGCATCTTGGTGTGTGTGCCACGCAATATGGCTTGGAAATTTGTTGAGTGAAATGGAGCTAAAGCAACGAGGTGCAAGCGTAATACAAGTTGACAACAAATCACCAATTGAGTTGCCCAAGAAATCTAGTGAACCATGAAAGAAGCAAACACATTGACGTTCGATTTCATTTTATCCGAGATCATATGAAGGAAGGAAATGTGGACATCTTTACAAAACCGCTACCCAAAGTACTCTTTGACAAATACAAGAAGATGATTGATGGTAGGAGCATTTAAGTTTATGGGGGAGTTTTGTTGGAAATAAAGAGAAAAAAAAAAGAAAAAAGAAAGGAAAGAAGCGTTATTAATTTTCGTTTTAAAATTTAGTGAAAAGCCAATACGCATTTTAGGCAAGCAGTGGTTTATGGATGAGAAAAAGTGTCATAGTTATGGTCAATTTTAGCCTTAGTAAAACTTATAAATAGGCTTTACTTCTAATAGCATAGCAAAAAAAATAGGAGAGCAGAAAAAGAGTAAGAATTAAAGTACAATGTAATAGAAAACGCTCTTGAGAATTCTTTCTCCTTGTCTCTCCCCTCTCGACACCCCCTTCACAGTTTCGTGAGAGTTATCTAAACGAGTTAGTTTCAGAGCAAGCGTTTATTTTCTACAAGTTAGTATCAGAGCGGCTTTTAATTTCAACAAATTGGTATCAGAACGAATTTTAATTCTACGCTTTTGCCTAATTGTCACGACCCGATTTTCGAGGCTTCGAAAAACCGAATCGTGACTAAAAAGATGAAGTCGAACACAAACAAAAAGAAATGAAAAGTGAAGTAAAAGGTAAAAATACCATTTAATTAAAACAAAATAGAGAAAAGTTTTGTTTCAAATTAATAAAAAGGAATTACAAATACAAAATTAAAATCAAATATTTCCAACCGGAAATAAAATTATGAAGAAAAATACAAAAGACTCTAAGAGACCGACAAGGGACTGACGCTCTGGAACGATCCCCTCTGTGACCACACAGCTCTCGAACGCTCCTCCACCTCGACCGACACCTGATAAAATGGTAGAAAGGAATGAATATAAAAATTATACTCCGTAAGCCACCTACTTGTAGGTTCTCTTCGCATCTTAATTTGACAGGTTCCCACGATTTCCTAAATCAGTTCTGGGACATCTAGTTCTAATCTCAGTCCCTTGGAGCTTTCCCCTTGGGTTTCACCAGTTTATCGTCCTTTCATTAAACACCTAGAGGTTCCTTATGCCAAGCTAATATGGTCGGTATCTCTCTATGAGGTGCTACCTCTACATGGCTATCTGGGACTACATGGTATCTAGCCTAGGGGTGTGCTGAATACCCCTACACCCATATAGTCCCCCTATGGGGGGCGCAACCCAACCCGTTCCCATGCAGCTAATGGGCTATACGACGTGGGGACACATTTCCCATGCGAAATGGCTAAGAGCAGTAAGGACTAATCATGGACCCTTGGTCCTCCCACGAAGCTATAGATACCGTTCTCATGCTAGCAATCTATGAACACTCCGTGGTACCTTGTTGCCGTGGTAAACTGCTAAGTTCCTAGGGGAAAATTAAGTCTGGCTAGAGCGACATATCGCTCCTAACAGTAATCCCCTAAGCTTATCATGGAAATGGGCTCTAGCAATTAACAGAGTGTGCATGCAACCGTCTTCTAACATCATAATATATAATTCATGCAAACTAGTCATACTGGCTCAACGAGGCGATGACCTCCATCAAGCACCCGGAACACGACATACACAATTCCAACATAAATTAAACGCATGCATACATACGACGGAAGCTTAAAGCATACAACAACACTCATGTAATTCACCCAATACAATCATAACAATTAATCTGACAAACAATTTATATGGAGAGCTAATCTGAAGCAAAACCACTAGCATGCATGCAATCCAAGCGAATCCTACAAGTATTTCTTCCTAAATACCGAGTGGTGACTTACCTAGTTGACGCGTGCCCTTTTTGCTAGCGTTTCTTTGCTTGTGAGGTGTTCAAAAATATTAATTTCTTTAAATTAGGTCCCTATTCACGTAAAAACATTATTAGAACTGGAACCGGGGCAAAAATCGGGCAAACAGAGAGCAATCGGGCCCAAACGGACGGTCCACGCGCGCTCACCCGCTGGCAATGCGCTGGGAGTGCGAGATCACGCGTGCGGGAAGGCACCAGTCGCAGGCCGCATGCACGCCTACCACGCGCGCTCGCTTTCACGCAGTCGCGGGTCGCCCGGTCTGGTCTGGCTTGACTCGACTCGCGGTTGCGGTTCTGGCCCAGCTTGCAGGCGACACGTGTCGTTGCCTCGCTGGAGATGTGTTGCTCCAGCCGATGGTCAACGCATGTTCGGCGCCTGTCGCTGCCCTCCGCCGTTCGCCGGCCAACTCTTTTTTTTTCTCTTCTCTGTCCTCTGAAATCCGTAACACCGTCCCCTTTTCCAATTTTCATATCTTTCGATCCGTAGATCGGATCGATATGATTCCTTCGGCAAAGTTCTAGATCGTGTTATGGGCTACGTCCTAGTTTTTTTTTTTTTTTGTAATTTTTGCTTGACTATCGGACGAGTTAAGAACGTCGGAAGTTCGCTTACCGTTCTCGAACGACTCTCGGATCTCCGCCTTCGGGTTGAGGTCTCGGCCAAACTTCTTCACAGACCGTGCGTGAGTTGTTCCTGGGTGAATATATCAAGATTTCAGATCTTGATTCACAAAGAAAAACTGTAGATCTGAAAAAACGTTCAAGATCTTACCTCGCGGGTTTTTCCGATTTCTTGATGGAAAATGGGAATCCGGCCACCCACATTCTCTTTTCCCTTTCAAGAAAGGCTCCTTGCATCATAGTCTTGACCGGAACGGACTCCGTCGGTAGTTTTTGATGAGTCTTTCGGCCGTTTATTCTTCCTCCTCTCTCTAGGTTCTCTCTAACCCGTTTCTCTCACTATTTCTCTTTTGCAGGACTCTTGATGGGTTTCATTTGAACCCCTTAGGTGGTTGGAGGGGCAAATTTACCTATTTGCCCCTCTCTTGACTTTTCCTTTTTCTATTTCTATTTCTCTTTCTTCGGGTATTACACGCAGTGCGCATCCTTACTCTAATTTTCTATAATGCCTCGTTTTTAATATGGACCAACTCGGGTTCTATTAGTTCTCGTTCTTCTACTTCGTCCAAGTACATTGGGGATCTACACCGTTTTCCATATAATTCTTCAAACGGTGCCATCCCAATTTTTGCTTGGAAACTATTATTGTACGAGAATTCCATTTAATGTACTTTGGTGTCCCAACTTCTCGTGAAATCCATAACACATGCCCGAAGCATGTCTTCTAAGATTTTGTTCAACCGTTCCGTCTGACCATCATTCTGTGGGTGGAGGGTAGTGCTAAAGTCGAGGTAGGTACACAACGCTTTTTGGAGTCCGCACCAAAAGGCCGACGGAAAATGTGGGTCTCGGTCCAACACTATTGATATTGGAACTTCGTGCAACCTCACGATTTCTTTCACATACAGTTGAGCCCAATTGTCTACTATATATGTTGCTTTACCTTGTAGGAAGTGTGTTGACTTTGTCAGTCGACCGACAATTACCCAAATTACCATGTAACCCTTTAGTGTTTTTTTGTAAGCTTACTATGAAATCCATATCAATATTCTCCCACTTCCACTCCAGTATACTTAGAGGTTGTAGTAGTCTAGCTGTTTTCTGACTACAGGCTTTTACTTGTTGGCACACTATACAATTACTCACGTATTCCACGATATTTTTTTTCATACTTCGCCACCAGAAGTGTGGTTTTAGGTCTTGGTACATCTTCTTACCACCTAGGTGTATTGAGAAGGGTGAGTTGTGTACCTCGGTTAGGATTTCGTTCTTTATTTCACTCACAGCTGGAACACATAAACGTCATTGGCATAACAGTCCATCGTCTCATAAGATAGGTACACTCTTTTTTGTCAATTGGGTGAAAAGCGAGGCTATTCTAGCGAAGTCTTGGACAAACCTTCGATAGAAACCTACCAATCCCAAGAAACTTCGTACCTCTGTGGCCGTAGTTGGGTGTCCATGTCGTGATGGCTTCTATCTTGGTGGGATCTACTGAAATTCTGTCTTTAAACACGGTGTCCCAAGAACGAAACATGTCATAGCCAAAATTCACATTTGGAGAATTTGACATACAACTTGTTCTCCCTCAAGATAGTTAGAGCTTTTCTTGGTGTTCTTGATCTATTTTCACGTATATTAGGATATCATCTATGAACAAGATCACAAACGTGTCTAGGAACTTCTTGAATATTTGGTTCATTAGTTCCATGAACACTGATGGGGCATTGGTGAGGCCAAATGACATCACTACAAATTCATAGTGGCCATATCTAGTTTGGAAAGCTGTTTTCCATACATATCTATCTTTAATTTTAATTGGGTGGTATCTTAATCGAAAATCTATTTTTGAAAATATTGTTATCTTTCGAAGTTGGTCAAATAGGTCCCTCGATCCAGATTGAAATACTCTGAGTGGTGCAGCGAAGCAAAAGCTGCCAATAACACATGCTACACATATGTAGAGCAAAGAGATAAAGTCTTAAAAGGAAAGCTTTACAAGCTAATTTTTTATGTTTACCCAATTTTTCACATAATTTCTTTCTGATGTATTCAACACTTGAAACTCAGCACAATCGGTATTCAAAGGAAGTGAAGTCGAGAAAAGTGGATGAGAAGAAGTTAAGAAAAGGGACCAAAATCGCTACTCGACTTGCAAAAATTTCTCAAACATCATTAATTATATAAAAACAAAATAACAAAATAAGGTAAATAAAAATTATTGCAAGTCTTAGCAATAGCATGGGTGGGATGAAGTGGCAGATAAAGAAAGCTTCACGTGGTAAGCTCACTACGTGACACGTAGTTATTGTAGTTTATTTCATCTTTATCACTTTCCTCATTACCACCCTCCAAACAGTAACTCACAAAGGAAGATTACGATGACGATCAGTTTCCGCACTTGTGGGATCATCTTCAACCTAAATCCAATTCATCCGCTCCTTGCTTGTAGTACTCTTAAGGGTCATTGGCCATCTCTTCTTGCTCGCCGCTATGACAAACCAAGAACAGACGAGGAGGACCACCACCGCAGCGCTGAAAAAGGCACTGATCACAGATCCAACACAGACAGAGCTCCGTCCATGGCTGAGGAGTTCAATAGGATCGCGGATGAAAAGCACCTGAAGGAGGCCCCTGGTCGGAGCTCCGACAAACAATCTGAAACCTCGCAAAAAACTGCGTCTGACCAGAATTTGGACGACGGGCCTAANGGCGAAGACAAACCTCGCCTAAGGTTCGACGAAGCCACAAAGCCGGGGCGAAAAATATAATGGGGCTTAATTTTCCCTTAAGGCTGGTCGTGAGCGTGTATAGATCACAACGCCGCACGGTCAAAGATATAGGACCGTGACAATTGGTATCAGAGCCACACTTTGTGTGTCTAGTCGGGCAAGACAGTCAAGAGAAATGAACCCAAGAGTTGATCGAAGACCTTGCAAGTGTGTCAAGAGTGCCGAAGTGGGCAGGACAGTTGCCGGTCAGAATTATAATCAGTTGGGAGTTGAAGCCAAGACTACCCGAAATTCATTAGTGTCGTGTGTCGACACCTCAATAATGGGAAGATCTACCCGTCAAGCAAAAACCAAGCTCACCTGAGAAGAGCTTGCAGTTTCGAAGTAGACAAGACAGATGAAACAGAAAGCACCACAAGAAACAAATGTAAATCTAAAGAGTAATTTATTCAACTTGAAAATGAATAACATTAACGTACATTAATTCAACTACATTCTATACTTAGAATACTTATGAACCCACAAAATATAAGAGCCTCTCTAAATTTGGTGGTCTTTTCTCATTATAATTTTCCTATAAAATTATATGTAGGACTTTACATTTATAGAAAAATTCAAACACCCACACCTTCGCCATTGCTACTCTTCATCAGTTGTGAAACGAGATTGTAACCTTACAACTTGATGATGCTCCACAATGGCCATGGATAAAGGTTTCAAGCTCTTTCACACTCTTTATTAGTGATTGTTTGGCAATGTTGACCACCTGATGTCACCGGTGTTGTGAATCTCGATCATCAATTTTCATTTCGTGCTCTTGGATCACATGAAACTCAAATCCCAACAGTTGCTCCAATTGGAAGTAGTCTAGTGGATGCACCATTTGGAAGCACTGCTCTAACCTCGAAGGGTGCATCGGTTGGGAGCATTTCTCTAACCCCGGAGGGTGTATCGGTTGGAAGCATTGCTCAAACCCCAACCATTACACCAATTGGAAGTAGCACACAAGCGTGAGAGTAGCATTGCTGGGCATCAATTTTTTTTTTTTTTTTTTTTTTTTTTTTCTTTCAAATCTTGTTGTATCTAGAAATAATGTGTACAAAATAAAAAAATAAAAAAACAAAAAAAGATCTCAATTCCATTCAAAATGTAATTATAGGTTCTTAATTTCTTTCCTTTCTTAATTACTTTTCATAATTTTATTTTTATCTCCAACATGGGATTCTCTATATATAATCGAAACAAGGACAATATTTCTTAAAAACTCTTTTAACACACAGCAACTAAACTTTAAAGTATTCATATTAAAAAAATAGAAAGTGCATTGGCCAAAGACCGAACCCACGACCTCGGTAATAGTAGTGCAGGGGCAGAAGTGCAAATGTGGAACACTCGCACGTGGTTGGGCAAAAATGCTTCGTGCGGGTATCGAAGTGCAAATGGGCACTAATTTAATCCAAAGGAAATTCCAAATGAGTTGAGTGAGACTTGGGACTCAAACCAAGGGCGGCATGCGATTGAGCCAGAGACTGCTCGTGGGTTGTGTGTGGTTACAAGCATGTAGCTTCCACTATTCTCGCGTCAGGCACGTGAAAGAGCGTTATAGGTGCTTTTCCGTTCGACTTGCATTTCATTAGTTTTTTCCTTCGATTTTAATGTTAAGTTTAATATGATTTGAATTAAGACTCGTTAATAGAGTTTTGGACATTTGGAGCATCGAGAGAGCATGAATAGAAGTACCAAAGGTACACATGAACGAAATAGCCATTTGAAATTCTTTCAGGGAGTACTTATAGGGATCACTAGATTATGCTAGCATGTAAGCATGAACGACCTAATATAGCTAGAAAGTGCAAGTTAGGAATGATAATGAAATACAAGGACAAACATAATGTTTCTCTACAAATGTAGGCCTAGAAAGTGCAAGTTAGGAATGATAATGAAATACAAGGACAAACATAATGTTTCTCTACAAATGTTTGATTTGGCCCTAGAAAGAGATTTTAGAATTATAAGATGATTTTTTCTATATTAGGAATTCTGACTTGAGATTAAGAACTGTACTTCAAATGATTGATTGATCTCCTCTTTGAGCATGCATGCATGATCAACAAGAATAGGGTGCTAGAGCTAGGACGGTTTTACGATGACCAAGGTTATGACATTTTTAGAAATTCGTGCACCACAAGACCGTGAAAGGTGACAAGAAAATGAAATCCTAGTACTCAAAAAATCATATTAGTTTAGAAGAGTGAAAGATTTGATATTTGAAAATGCCCTAAAAACCTAGTTAGCCTAAATGGCACCCAAGAAAGACTAAGCTTACCATACTTATGTAGTTGTAAACATTATTATAAGAGGTAGACCGCTTCATATTTCATCATTAGTATTATTTAGTGATCTAAGTCAGATCTAATATTTCTCCTATCAAGATTCTTTTAGTAAACATAACGTCTTAAAGACTTTAAAAAGTGAAAGTTATGATATGTGGTTGGATCTGAGTTATACGTTTAAACATGGTGATGAGACTATTATGGATCTTGGAGACAGCAAACTGACCTAAGGAAGATTTATAATGACGCCCTAGAGAGAATGACTTCCAAACCCATATATTTGGGTAC